ATAGATATCAACTAAATATTTTCCCCTATTAGATTAGCAAATAACATGTTGTATACTACGGATTTGGGAGGGATAGGAGGGGGGGGGAGAAAAGAAAGAATCATTCAAAACAAGAGCTTTTAATTAGTATTTCCACCTCATCTTCAAAAGCATGTCAGCTCTGAGGAAGTGATCTGGGACAGTATGAGAAAATAAACTAGGTAAAATCTGAAGCACTCTAGTCGTAGTCTAAAGCAAACCTGATTACGGGGGCAGATGACTGTTTCGTTTCTTTTCTCACAGCAGTCCTGAATCATCACAGCAAACAGAAGGGGGAGGGGGGAAAAAATCACGCAATCAACATTTTAATGAGCTTCATCACCCACAAATCTCTTTTGTTTAGGTTAATGGTGCCTTGTTATGCCAAGTGGAACTACAATTAAATTCTGATGCTTAATGCAAATCTCCTCCTCTGCTTTGCCACTGTAGCTCTTGGGATTATCGAACTATAAAACCATTACCCACGTAACTGGTTGTGAGCAGTGCAGTTTGTGCCGAAGTGACAACCTGCAACATTACAGCCCCTCAAGTCTACCTTATACAAGTCAGGCAATAACTTTTTTGAATATCCTAAACAGACAACAACATGGGCCACATGGTATATATAGTCTAAACCTTGATCTAGGGTAATAAATTCCTCTTCCATTCCCTCCTATTTTAATAATGTTATGAGCAGAGCACCACCACTGTTTATGTAATGTATAAATACAAGTCATCTTTATTTATGGACTAGGTTGTTGCATTATTTTTCATAACCCCTGCAATAATTTAAGTTACCACTGCTTTCAAGCAAGACAGGGATTCAGGAGTGCATTAATAATGAAGAGTTACAGAAAGACAAAAACAACAACAAAAATCTTATCTTTTTTTAATCCTATTAGTTTGGGGGGGGGAGGGGAGAATAGACCCTAGTTTAGAGTTTACAGTACAAATGCATACACTGAACGTTTATTTTAATTTGATTTAAATTTAACTCCCGAGTTTGAATAAAATTTTGGATTAATTAGGTTAATAGGTTTTCATCAGTGATCAGACCTTACACCCAGAGCGGATTGTAGGAGGAGCAGAGAAATGAAGGTGCATGACTGAGCACAGGGGTGGGAGAGAACCCAGCATTTTTATAGGAGTTTACATTTTTCCAGGCAATTATCTTGCCCTGGTTGCAGTAGGATCCTAATGCTGCTCTTTCAGCAGAGATTAGTGTAGAAGTTAATGTTTCTTGTCACCCTGACAGTTTTGCTCATTAATTTTGTGTTTAGTTTGGGGAGGATACAAAAAAAAAAAAAAAAGGAGAGGAAAAAAAAAGAAACCTGTTTTGACTCCCTTGAAGGCAAGTATAGTGCTAAGATTACCAATCTCCTCTTAGGCTCTACTAATGAAAATTGTTAATGAACTGCTGAATAAATAATAAAAACAAAAACTTGACACATTGGTGCTTTGAATTTTGGTGTTGGAAGATCTTTAAAAAAAGGGATTCCACCTTTATCACTACCACCCCTCTCAAAAAGAGTCTTAAACACATACCTAAAGTGACTAACAGACTTTGAATGGGCCAGACCCCATAGTCTTAACACAGAACCCCCATTAATTTCAGAGTCTGCTTATGGATTTCAGGATTGAGTTAAAATAGATTTGACTTCTGTACCATGTCCCTGAATGAAAGAGGTAAAGATTGAACGGAAGAGCAATAGCTAGTTTGGTTTCTGTTTTATTGCAACAAAATAAAACATTTCCTTTTGCTGGACTCCACCACCTCTTTGAAATCAACAAGTACCCATTCCCTTTAAAATCAGCAAAGAATTAAATATACAGTACTAACACGGTTTTGTAACTAACATCCCTAACGAACACTGTGGGTGCTACTGGATTTTTCACTTGGTTTACAGTTTATTTTTTTCCTTTCCCACCAAATGTTTTCCAGCTGACACAGATTATACCTTCACCTTTCTTTGGGGATTAAATTAATTACTCCAATTCAAATGGAAACATTCCTTAATTTAATAGAGTCACTGTTTTGGAGTTAGAACATTATATGCCTGAATATGTTTTCAAAGGCTAACCAGATTTAGAATTAAGTTTTTTTTTCCTTGAAGGGAAAAAAAAAAAAGTGAACCTACAGCTACAAAGCAGTCAAGTATAAAATAAGTGTGACGTTCATGATTTATATTATTTACTACAAGACAATCAAATCTGACTATTGTAGAATTAGACAACTGATTTTGTTTAAGATAGACCCAGGCTTCTTTATACATAAAAATCGTAGGTCTATATATTTAATGACATGATTGTGTGACTGTCTATAGACACACGATATAGATCTACTAGATAGGCCTGTACACTCATGTGCATTTTAATCTTTAGCTATTTATCGATCCCTTCCCATCAACGCGAAGTCGGGGCTAGTTCTCGATTAGTCAGATTCCATTGTCTCCTAGGATTTAGTGGAAGTTATTCGCTTTCCATTGATCATAAAGTGCCAAAAACTGGGCTTTGCGGGAATCATGCTCGCAGCTCAATTAGTGAAAAGGGAACCAGGCAGATGAAGGCTGCAGGTGAACAGCCACCCCCTTCCCCCCGAAGTTGGGCTAACTTTTCTCCCCTGGATTTTCTGTACAGATCCGTCACCTGCTGCTCAGTCCCCCCACTACCCCAAACACCCCTGTAATGCAGCTCCAGGGTAAAGCAAAGCAGCTCGCAACCTGGGACATGGTGCACAAGATGCCTTTCATCATCCAGCAAAATTCAAGAAATAATTAGGGGAGGGGAAGCGAGGACAATCAAAGCACTTTAGTCTCCCAGGAGCTGCATTTTCTCTCTTCAGTCCTTCCCTTCCACACACACTTAAAAAAAAAAAAAGAAATTGTAAATTTTGTTCTTTGGCGATTTTTTCAACTCGTATTTGTTCTGAAGACAGGACTTTTTACAACCATGCTGCCAAAACAGTTTTAAACAAAATTCAGAGACATCACGCTGGTAAGAGACAGACAAAACAAAACCCGTATTTGGGCACCACAAGGCAAGCGGGGAGAAAGAACAAAGCGTTAATACGAGACTGTTACTCTTCCATTGCTGTTCAGCTCGGCTGAGCCCAAACAAGTTGGACCGCAGAAGTTAAACGGAACGCGGGGCAAAAGGACACGAAGCAGCAGCAATATTTCAGGAACTCTATCGATGGGATTATTTATTTCCAAACTCCGCGAGCAAATCGGACCCAGATTATCCAAAACTACGGGGCAAATCTGGTTTAAACTAATAATTTACTGGCAAACTGGAGTTTGCACCTCAAAGCCTTTAAACACCGGCTCACTATAAAATAAAAATCTACCACTGGAACAGCAGAGCTCAGTCTCAAACCAGAGACATTTTACAGTTAAACGCTTTTCTGGCATTTAAAAGAACAAAAAGGATCCGGTGCATCTGAAGTATTTCCCCCCTGTAAACTTTTCATGATCAACATTTATTTTTAAGGCAAAAAAAAAAAAAAAAGCCGGATTTTATTTTGTTTGATCGATAAAACCAAACAACGTGTCTTGTAAACGCTCAGAGAAATCTGGATTGGTTGGAATTAATGCGGAGCGATACCGGAGTTTTTGATCGATTCCCTTTTGCAAAGAAGGAGCCGAGAAGGGTCTGATGCGCTGGAAGAGATGCTGCAGTGTCCCTTTCTTCCCAACAGAGATCACTACATCCCTGCTCCATGCTACAGCTGCCTCCTCGCAGCGATCAAACCCCGTCTTGCCAAAGCAAACTACAGGCGCCAAAACTACATGCGAGGAATTGAAGTAAGGGGCACATTTATATGGATACTGGCAAATGCCGAACCTGAAAAAGCAGCTATTGGCGAAACGGTACAAGATGGGAAGGGGCATCTCCCTTGCCCCATCGGTCACGACAGAAATAACTTTCCATCTTCTAAATGATGGGAACTTTCCCAGCTGCCTTATCTGGGATTTTTGATCACCAGCTGAGCTGCCTTCAGGAAACAGAACCGGGACACAGCACTTGACTTGTTGTCAGTCAACAGCCTGACCTAGAACATCAATCCGAACCGTTCGGGGTAATCTTACAAATTATGGGCAGATCCTGCTCTTGCAGAAGTCCGTGGCCCACATGGCTAATGCCTGAAATAGCAGCAGAATCTGTGCGCCCGATCCTTCGATAAACCAGATACCCCCTGATTCCTTCGCCGATTTGTTAGAAACAAAGAACGGGTCTAATCAGAGTGCTTCCCCTCTGGGGCATTCCCCTAGTGTAGCTCGCCCCCTCATGCGGGGATAGTAGAAAGTAGCTGAATGGTTCTCCAGGATTCAAATTTAATTGGAGGGAGACGAGACTTTTTTTTTGCAATTTCTATATCGCGTTAAGAGAGAAACAATCCCACCCTCTGATAGCAGAGCAGTAAAACCACTGCACGGCAACTGAAGAAAAATAAACTTTCTAATTTTTTTTTCCTGGAGTCTCTGCGGTAATGGGAATCCCCAGGGAACATCTCGATTTTTTTTTATTTTTTTTTTTTAAAAGCAGAACTCCCTACCCATTTCCACAGAGGGCAGTTTGCAGGAAATCTTGTCCGGCTGGAGAAATAAGAACGGGAAAAATACACACTGGATGGGTCTAGCATGGGCCAGGGCAAAATCCAACCCGGAGCTGCACCTAATTTAGACCCTGGTCTGCTGCAAGGAGCGACGCTAGGGAAAGCTCCGGGAGCAGCATCTCTTGCATGTTCAGAGTTGGGGGAGGAGGGGAGTGACTCCTGCTGCTGATCTGAGGCTATAAATTATGGATCTATACAAAAGGTGTAAGTGGAGCCCCCCCTCCCCTGGAGGGGGAAATGAAGCAGAAATGGCCCGGAGGGTGAGGAAGGTGATTTATGGGTTTGGTGCAAGTGACCCCGGAGGGGTTAAGTTTCAATCACGCACACGCATCGGGAGGCACAGGGAGGGGTGGGGGCAGGGGGGTACCTGTACCAGGCGAAGCCCTGCTCGTAGTTGCGGTCGAAGAAGTGGGGCTCGGCCCCCACGGCCCGGATGTCGGGGTGCACCCGCAGGAACTCCAGCAGCGCCCGCGTGCCGCCCTTCTTCACCCCGATGATGATGGCCTGCGGCAGCTTCTTGGTGCCGGAGCCGTTGAAGAAGCTGGAGATGGGGCTGGTGGGGTCGGGCGCCGCGCTCTGCTCCTCTCGCGGCTCCGAGGGGGAAGCCGCGGCGGAACCCGCCAGCCCCTTGGCTCCTCCGGAAGGCGCCCGGCGCAGCAACTTGGAAAGCACCTGGAGACCCTCTCCGTGCGCTCCAGCGGTGGCGGCAGCCTCCCCAGCCCCCCTCCCCGCGAGGCCGGGCACGGAGGCGCAGGAGCCGGCGCACGAGTAGAACATGTAGAGCCAGAGGAAGAGCATGATGCAGAGCAGCAGGAGTTTCCTTCTCACCGGGAGGAGCGGCGGCGGCTGCAGGGCGCTGGGCGCATCGAGGCAGCAGATCAGGCGCTGTCCCATATGCCCGCCTGCACGCCGGGCAGCATGGCTCAGCGCACGGGCACCGCCGCGGGGGTTGCTCCCGGGCCCCGCCAGTCGAGCCCCAGCGCCGCGCGGGGGTGCCCCTCTGCCCAGCCGCTCAGGAGCCGCGCTGGGCAGCGCATAGGCGGGCTGCGCTCCCCGAGAGAGACTAGCGCGGGGAGGCTCCGGGTGCCATGCTGCGCTCCCCGGGGCGCACGGCCACTGCCCCAGGGCAAGTCACTCAGCAGGCTCCGCGCGACGCGCCCAGCATCGCCGCCTCTTCCCCAGCGCCCCGCGGCTGCTCCCCGGGAGCGTGCATGCAACCGGCCCCTCGCAGAGCCTCCCCCGGACTGCCCGAGAGCCGGCCTCCAGCGGGCAGCCCCTCAGACCGGCGAGGAGGGGTGGGAAGCGGGCGCCCGTGATAGGCAGCCCCGGTGGCCTATAAGAGCCGGGCTCCCTATGCTAATTAGCTTCATTTGTTGATAGCCAGGCAGCCAACGGGAATGCAGGCTGCTCCGGCGGGGCGGGGCACTGGGGGCGGCTGGAGGTGATTAGTGATTCTAATTGGCTAATGAGCCGTTCAAGGGGCAGGGGCGGCTGAGGAGTCAAGGCTCTTTGGGGGAGTGGGGGGTGGAAGGAAGGAGAAGGGGAGAATGGATCAGCAACCCCCTGCCCCGAACTCATTCCTCCTCCACGCTCAGCCACGCAGCCAGAGAGCCTGGGCTGCGCGCTGGAGACAGCCCCGTTACCCGCCCAGATGTGCAGCGAGACGCAGCCAGATGTTGCGAGCCCGCGCACACAGGGAGGTTATGAAGGGGGGGAGGGATACTGGCTCCGGAAGGCAGGGATCGTCCGGGGAAGGTCATCAACCCAATGATGAATTGAGTTGGCTGAAGGGACCCGGTTAGTGGATGAAGAGGAAAGGAGACGCCTAGCAGCAGACAGTGCTGCTTCCAGCGCCCACCCTCCAGCTGTGTATATAGAGAGCTCTGCCACTAACAATATATATAGGGGCCCCCGCTCCCAACAGTGCATAGCACTGCTCCCCAGCAATATATGTAGTGCTGCCCCCACCAATCTGCGCAGCTCCCCGACCCCCAGAAGTATATGGCACTGCTCCCCAGCAATATATATAGTACCGCCTCCCAGTTATATATACAGTGCTCCCCCTCTCCCAAAAGTACTGTATATAGCCCTGCAGTCAGCCATATAGCTAGCTAGCTCTCTCTCCAGCAGTATATAGGGCTCCCTCCGATAGTCTATAGTGCTGCTCCCAGCCATAGGGACTTTCTTCTGCACCAACCTGGCTCCCCGGTGCAGGGCAGGCAAGTTACAGCGCAAGGACCTCAGAACTACCTCACGGGAGGCCATTCGTTTCTCCTCCTGGCGAATCGCTGCCCGCAGTTTCCATTTGGGGGCTTCGCTTTCGGAGCCGCTCTACCTTCACTGGAAACATTTCGTTTTTCTTTCTGTCTCCCCCACTTTTGCCCTAGCCTGGTGGGGTTGCTCACGGAGGGAGACGAACTTTAAAGTGTCCTTTACAGACAGACACTTTTAACTGTAACCGCAGATGAAGCCAAGGAGAGAGACAAACGGGGAGCTAATGACGTTAGTGGGGGGTGTTTTGTTTTTCAATGAAGTAACGTGCCTTAGATGCACGAAGGGAAGGGGGAAATACGCTGATAAATTCGATACAATTGTTATGCTTTTTATATTTATATTGAGGGCAGAAGAATGTATATCCCATGGACAAATGCTCCCAAGATTTAGAACGAAAAATATTGGCATGTCATGTTACTCTTTTCTTTTTCTTTCTTTCTTTCTTTCTTTCTCTCTCTCTCTCTCTCTCTTTCTTTCTTTCTGCAAAACCAACAAGACCTACCTAGTTCGACTTGCAAAATAGATTTCTAATAGACACTTAACGATTTCATTTTCTTTTTTCTGCGGGATGCCAGATCGGTCTGTTTCGTGTTGTGTTGTTTCATGGCAGAGCAAGATGCCCCCGCCATAGAGCAGAAAGCTACTGTATTCATCAGAAGCTGGCTGCCTCATTATTTTTGTCTTTCCCTAATAGCGGGATAATCATTAAAGGCCCTTCAGGACTGCAGCAAGTGCGCTGAAGTTTACAAAGAGAAAGAGGCAGCGTTTTTAGGGGTAATCGCGGGGATTATCTGCCCACCTCACTCTGTGGCTAGCCTGCAGAATGACTTGGAATCTTGCCCCGTGTATAAAATGGGGCTACCCGGGGGAGAGCTGCTCTGTTGTCCACTGCCTGGAGCCGCAACTGGGCTGCCCAGCGGCTCTAATTACAGGCGTAACCGGGATGGCCAAGAAACAGGTTTCCCAACGATCCACTTGAACGTGGCAAAATGCAGCCTTCAAATGGCCTTTTCCCGTCCAGCCAGGCGGCGGGCGGATCAGCCCCTGGAAACTCCGCCAGAGGAATTTTCTGAAACAAGCAGAGGTCCCTAGCCTCAGCCTAGATCAACGAGCCAGGTTGGCGGGACAATGCGGATCACACCCACACCCAGGCAACAAGATGTTCAGCGCTCAACCCCGGAGGGAGAGACTTCGAGACAAATTCAACTTCGCGACAGGGGACCGGCACAAAGCCTCTGATTTTATATGTATACGCCTGTTTTCCGGGCACACAAAAGGCAACGTTTGTGAAGTTCTTAAGGGGAATCAACATTTTCCTTCTTCCCTGGGGCTTTAAACCAGCCGGGATCATTTTTAGTTACCTATGTCTTCATTTGCTGTTGTGAAAATAAACAAGCGCTACAAGAAAACTCAACACTGGGTTTCCATAGGAGTTAGTGGGGGTGGGGAGAGGGTGTCTGGAAGAAAGAAGAATATTTCAAAGTTAACATTTCTTCCTAAGGAAAATACATTTCTACTTATGGATCATCACTACTCGTCGTTTCCCTCTAAAGTGGGTAGAGAGTTTTGCCAATGGATTCAACAGGAGAGGATTGGGCCCTTGAATGTATTTTGCCCAGCTAACGTTCTAGCTAAACTTTGTTTGCCTCTAGACATATTTAAATAATGTTTAAAAGGGAAAAAAGGACAATCTGATTTTTTTTCCTGGCGAGTTTAAGTACTTGTTTCTCTGTCTAAATCTTTTGAAGATATTTCGCATAACATAATCATTATTTACCCTTAGGTCATTTTTAAAAATAATTCTTACAGCGACTGAAGGGCAGATCAGATCTGAATCCACCTGAATAGAATCTGCGTTATCACTTTTAAGGTTGATTTTTTTAAACCAACATTTTGTATCCTAGAGGAGGAGGGGAAAAAATTTTCTAAAGATTAATGTCCCGTCCCTACTTTTCACAGATACCTGGTAGGTTAAGAGTAGGTTAGATAAGAGTCTATCAGGGATGGTCTAGACAGTATTTGGTCCTGCCATGCGGGCAGGGGACTGGACTCGATGACCTCTCGAGGTCCCTTCCAGTCCTAGAATCTATGAATCTATGAATCTATGAATAATGATCCCTTGAAGGAGGAAAGGCCAGAGGAAAAAACAAACGAACACGTGTTTGTATTCCTACTCTAAAGAACAAAAGAGAACTACACAATATAAACAAGCCGGACTCGTTTAAGATCGCCTTATAGTTGTAACATGTCAATTTCGCAGTGAAAATAACCCAGTGCAAATATCTGTCTCTTTTGGCCACAGCAACTATGGAGTTACTAATTTCCCCCCTTTTTGACACAGACATTTGCAATTTGTTTGTCTTGATTTATAGACAGAGGATTGGTTGATAAGTCCCCAAAACTTGTCAAAGAGACACTCCCAAGTTTTATCGGTAGGAAACCGTGTGTGTAGCTTGTGTGCTCGACCGATTAGCTCCGCCTAGCCCATCGAAAGCTACCTCGGGATCTTCCAGGGGATTGTGCGGTTATGTTTGTCACCTCTCGGAAACTGGTGCTTGGGACGGAGCAAATGACTCCCAGCGCTAAGCCATTGTCTGGCCATCCCAAGAGAAGAGATGCAAAGGGATCTCTTCTCCGCGGTGCACAGTCCCGCTGGCTGGAGGAGGGAAGTTTAGTGTGTCCCTCGGCCAGGAAAGGAAGGCGATTGAGTTTCAGTTCGTTGCAAACCTGTCTCGGAAAAGCTTTGAGGCGAGCTGGCAGGTACACTGAAGCCAGCAGGGGCTAGTGTCTCCAGTTCCCCGGATCAGGGCGCTCTTTATGATAGCAGTCGCTCAGCGAACGGCAATAACACACATCCGAGGGGTTCCCCCGCCCAGAACATTGGTTTTCGCTGCGGGACAGCCCAGAGATCTGCCAAAGCAGGCAAGCCCAGTGGGTAGGAATCGGTGCAAGTCAGGGGTTGCCCGCGCTCCTCCCCAGCCCCCAGCGAGAGTTGGCAAACCACACCATGTGGTTGCCACTGTGATCGGGCTACTTCCCTCTAGACTATTCCTTACCCATCTTAACCCTCAACCCTGGGGGGTTTCCGGCCCCCGGTTCTCCTAGCTGCAATAAATAAATCCATAAGATCAATCAAATCAAAGCAGCACCTTAAAGGAGTCGAGAGCAATTCGTTGCTCTCTGATCCGTTACGATGCAGTGACAGAACTCCCCTCTATCCAACCCGGCCTTTTTTGTCTCTTCCCAGGAGGACTGGCAAGCAGGACAGAGAAAGCCACATGCCCAGCTAGCGAAGGTCACTGACTGCTCACCAAGTCTGCTTTGATTTCTCTTTATAATCTTGGAAAAAACCAACAACCTCCCGAACCAATTCCCCCACTAGGTCACTTGCAGGCGACATCCCTTGTTTCCATACAGTCACCCTATGCTTTTCGCAGCTGTCCCGGGCTTTCAAAACTTCATTAACTCATAGGCTGTGAATTATTTTTACAGCTAAGACAACTGTTTCTTGTACCTGTGGCTGTATGGCGCATATCCAGCCTCAATCCAAACCTTCTTAGCTACTCTATCGTCTCCAGCTTTGTTCCCCTTCCAGATCTTCTTTGTGGGAAAGACGAAATCTGGATGACTTCCCCTTAAAGGAAGCGGAGTACATCACGGCATACATTTCGGCTGCTCTCCATAATTAAGCGTCCCGTTGTTACCAAACTCTGCAGTGGAACCGGACCTCGGATCGAGGGAATCTTTACTTATAGAGCGGTAGAAGGAAAAGTCTCAAATTGTTCCCATGCCTTGACATGTGCATGCAAAACAACTTCTAAAGGGTTTAAGAAAAGAGAATCCCTCAATAGTGTTGTGTTGCCTCTGGGTGCACACACTGAAAGCTGTGGTCTGTTAGGGGCAAATTTCACTCCACTAATCCAGTTGGAGTGTTACACACTCAGCAATGCTTTACCCAAGTCTGAAAGGCGAAATTCTGGGGCAAA